ATGGAAACCTTAATTAAATTCAGACTTGAATGGATTCTGGAACACAAGGAATTATAAGCCAAAAACCAGAATGGCTTTAGAAAAGATTTAGGCACTTTAGATAGCCTCACCATCCTCACCTCTGAAATTCGCCTTGCATATTCTCGTAACGAGAATGTAATCGGTGTTTTCTTGGACATCTCTGCAGACTATGACAATGTACATCTTCCTCTTCTCAGGCAGAAAATTCTACATCTGAGTATTCCAGCGAGGATGGTTCACGTCATCTGCAATATGCTCATGTGTCGTACTATCTCTATTCGTCATCAAGGTTCTTTTCTCCCTCCTCGTCTAGTATGGAAGGGCCTTCCGCAGGGTTCAGTCTTTAGTCCCATCCTTTCTAATATTTATACTTTTGACCTAGACCAGTCTGTCAGTTCTTTTTGTAAAGTTCTTCAATATGCTGATGATGTTGCTATATATTTTTCGTCATTCTCCTTCCCTACTGTCACTTCCCGTTTGAATTCCGCTCTCTATTACTTAAACGTTTGGCTATTGGACCACAATCTTTCACTGTCTGTTCCTAAATGTAGTGCTCTTGTTTTCACTCGCAAACGTAATATCCCTGATATCAACCGTTCTGTAGCAGGCAAACTAATTCCAATAAAAGATTCCATAAAGTTTTTAGGCCTCATTCTAGATTCTAAATTATCCGGTATTCACCATCTAAACCATCTTATAAAAAAAAGAGCGAGGGGGGTGTGAACGTTATGCGGGCCCTATCTGGGGTCCGCTGGGGCTCTCACCCCTTTTGCCAAAAACTTTTATACAATGCCATAGTTCGAAGTCACTTTGATTATGGTTCTTTCCTTCTGGAACCATGCAATAGAGTTGCTCTGTCTAAGCTTCAGCTGATCCAGTCTAAGAGCCTTCGAATCATTACTAGTCCTATGAAATGCTCTTTAATGCAGTCCAAATTAATTCCCATCCCCTTCTTCCAATTCCGTCTCAACTTTCTACCACTATCTCATTGTACTGGAGACACAAGTCCCTCCCTTTGCTCCTTAATTCCTTTATTAAAATGAAAAATCTATGTGATCCTATCTTTCAATCTTCTTGAAATCCTCTTTTTGAGCTCGACTGTAATTCGTTAACCTTTCAACCAAAAATCATCCTTGACTTTGGCATCAATAAACATTCTCCGGCAGTCAACCAATACTTTCTTCACATCATTGCGGAGGATTGGTCTGATTGGGTTACGCTAAGAATATTGTTACTAACAAATTTTATGGACTAAGTCTGAAAATAATCCAGATGCATCAAAACTTTCTTCAGATGCCTTTGTGGGTTCTGCACTTTGGATTCCCAAATTTAAAATTATATTAAGTTATAAATGCTCTTCCTACAACTCTATCTTTTCAGGAGAATCTATTGCCCTATTGGAAGCGGTCACCTATATGGAATCTCATAAGCTTGACAAGTCCCTTATTTTAGCAGACTCCTTGAACTGCCTACAAGATCTTTTAAAAAATCCTTTCAAAGCTCGCAATAATTTCTCAAATCTCAAATTAATAATCACATGCATGTCAAAATAAAAACAAAATACAGTGAATTTTAATAAATGTCAAACAAATTAATTTAATGTCAATTCAAAATCATTAGGATAGTCGAGGTATTGTACAATTTTCTGAAGCAGTAATTATAGAATTGTCGTCCAAATAGTCCTTTAGTGAGTAATAGCACTTACTTATCACGATTTTTAATACTTCTCTTTTAAAATTGGCCAGAGTTAGCGTTTTAATTTTTTCAGGTAATTTGTTGAATATTTTGGTGGCCATACAGAAGGTACTTTTATTCATTAGTGCAGTTTTGCCATATGTCACTTGGAGTTCCGACTTATTTTTATCTCGTAGTTTTCTGTAGTAACTTTTAGTTGCTAGTTTGTACGATGAGATGTTGGATTTCACGAACATATTTGTTTCGTATATGTACAGAGATGGCAAGGTAAGAATTTTTAGACGTATGAAATACGGTCGACAACTGTCGGTGCTTTTTAGACCACACATAGCTCTGACACATCTTTTTTGTGCTTTGAATACAAGTTCTCTATCAACTGAATTGCCCCAGTATATTACGCCATATCTCAGTGTTGATGCAGCGTAACCGTGATAGGCCATTAGTACGGATTCTAGGCTTAGTATTTTTGATAGTTTATAAAGAACATAGGCAAATTTATTTAGTTTTTTACATACTTCGTCTGTCTGGGATTTCCAGGTCAAATTATTGTCTATATTAATACCAAGAAATTTAGTAGTAGTATTTGATTCTATTTTTGTCCCTAAATAGCTAATGTCAACGATTTTATTTGGTGTCCTTTGATAAAAATGCATAATTTTAGTTTTTTCTAAATTTATAATTAGATTATTATTTGCAAACCATGATATAATTCTATTTAATGTTGTATTTATTTCTTTTTCATAAGTATTGGGATCATCACACTTAATCACTACAGTGCTATCATCGGCGAACAGAACCATGGGGTGGTTTATTTGCCCAGGAAGGTCATTTATGTAAAGCAAAAAAAGAAGGGGCCCCAGCACGCTACCCTGAGGAACACCGTATTTAATTATCTCGCTTTCGGAACAATATTTTTTTTCAAAACTGGTATTTGAGCATATTTGCTTAATTTCTACAAATTGCTTTCTGCCCGTTAAGTTAGATCGAATGAGATCAAGTACATTTCCCCTGACACCATATCTTTCAAGTTTATGCATTAGTGTAGGATAATCCACATAATCAAAAGCCTTAGTTAGATCCATATAGATAGCACATACAGGATTTCTCTTATCCATATTTGATATAATAGGAAGAAGAAGGTCATGTATAGCCATATTGATTGACTTCTGTTTACGAAATCCCTTTTGATCTTTTACCAGAATGTTTGATTTCTCTAAGTAGTTATACAAGGACTTGTAGATGACCCTCTCAAATATTTTTGAAAATATGGGTATCAAAGCGATAGGCCTATAATTTGACATGGTCTGTCTATCATTTTTTTTGTGCAATGGTACAATTATTGACATTTTTAATTTCTCGGGGAATATGCCGTTAAAAATACTCATATTAATTATGTGACTAAGATGTGGAGCTATGTACTGAGATACCTCCTTGATAATCCTAGTGCATATACCGTCATAGCCAGCACTATTTGTATTTCGAAGTGAGTTAATATGATGATTTACATCTTGAGGTGTGGTCGGCTCCATAAATAAAGAGTTTAAGGTATTTGAGCGTACGTTAATTTCTTGTATGGACCTTTTTTTTGGTTTGGGAACTTGCCTAATATAGAACTCGTTAAACGCCCGAGCTATGTTTAACGGGTTCGTGATTTTCTGTGTCCCTGTTTGAATTTGTGTTATCGGTTCTTGAGGGAAGCAGGTCTTAGAATTATTAATTATGGTCCATGCCGCTTTAGATTTATTTTGGGACGTCTTAATGAAGTAGTTATTTCGTGATGTTTGTGTTAGCGTTATAACTTTTTTAAATCTTGCAGAGTATGTCCTAAATGATTGTTTATTCGTAAGGGTTGGATTTATCCTATATTGCCATAACAAGTGTCGTTTCCTTTTACTACATTTTCTAATCCCGTTAGTGATCCAATTAGCTTTTTTAGTAATCGATTTTGTTTTTATTTCGTACGGAAAGCAAAGATCGTAAAAACATTTAAATAGATCAAGAAAATAGGAGTAGGCCTCATTGACGTCACTAGTTAGATATACATCCGAGAAAGTGAGGGCTTTAATGCAATTTACAAATTTCTTCATGTTATCTTGACAGTAATTACGTCTTTTTATTTTTCAACGTTTTAAGACGCATGTTTTCTTAAAAGGACATTTTAAAAGTTGAGCGGTGTGATCGGACAGGCCCAATTCTATAATTTCTCCTTTACAGCCTTTTACATTATGTGCTATGTTGTCCAAGCATGTCTTACTGATTAACCTAGTTGGTTGAGAAAATTGCAATTTTAAATTATAGTTTAACAATGTATATTCGAAGTCTAAGGCTTGCTTATTTCTTTTCATTAAGTTGATATTAAAGTCCCCACATAAGACTACCTTTTTATTATTCAATTTTAAACACAACAAATGTAGAATATTGTTTAAATTATCGAAAAATGTATCCAAATTAGATTGGGGTACCCTATATATACATGCAATAATGATGTTGTGTTCTGTCAATTCTATAGCGCAGCATTCAATTACGTTAATTACAGAATATTTCCCCAAGTTTAACACTTTATACTTGTGACAAACCCTGGTTAAGATGCACGCGCCACCTCTTTTACTATCTCTGGAAAAGCTTGCTGCTAGCCTGTAGTTTGGTACATTTAGAAGTCCTTCCTGTTCAGGTGTTATAAAATGTTCGGTTATGCATATAGTATCGATCCGTTTTTTACTGTTTTCTAGTTCTTCTAAGTACACAATAAGCGTGTCACTTTTAGTCAAGAGCCCAGCAATATTTTGATGAAGGATATGTATACTGTTATAAACGAAAAAAGTTGGGGCTTACTTCCTGGCTTGAATAATGTTCGTCATCATTAGGAATCGTTAAAATCTCGCCACATTCTTGTTTGTTGTTGGAATTCATCTGTCTACTTGTCTGACAATATAAGAGTAAATCAATCTTGATATTACTCATAACATTGTCATATATATTTTTGATTCCGTATTTATTGATTCTGCCCGTAGTGTAATGATTGTGTTATGATTGCTGTCGAAGATGTATGCGTATTTATAGTTTTGATTATCTAGGTGAAGGAGGTTGTTAAACATCTCAACCTTGAAGTTATATATGGGTGATGCCATTTTATATGTAGGAAGACAAATTACTACATTGGTGTTTGTAACTTTTCGAAGGGACTCATTTATTAAGTTTATTAAGTTAATGTAGTTGTTTTCATTTGTGATGATGTGGTTTTCTCCAATAAAAATCAGACAGTAGTCATTTAGTGTGAACCCCTTTCATTTTTCACGATGCGCTCGGCGAGCGAACCGCACTACCAGCGGTCGCGGTCTCCCACCACGTGCTGCAGTGTCCCCGCTCTTAGTCGACGCGTAGGCGCCGCGTGGGTATCTAGGCCCCACCCGCTCCGCACTTACGATGTCTCGTTCGTCTAGTGTCATTCCTAACTTAGTGACAAGATGAGTCGGATTCTCAGCTTGCATCTCGGGTAGATTCGTAATTTCTATGTCATTGACTAGCATCTCTTGCTCCTTTTGGTCAAGTTCGAGTCGTAGTTGAGCTATGACATTTTCAAATCGAGCTGCGCTGCCAGTTTTCTGAGTAACACTTTGCTCTAATGCCCCGACCCTCTCTTCTATCGAATCGAGGCGCGAATTATTCAATGACATAGTGTTACGCATCCCCCTCATATCCTCACGCATCATTTTCACTTCGTCCCTCAACGCGTGCAATTCTTCCCGGAATAGACGAACTTCATGTGCCAGATCGAACCCGGACTACTCCAGACTGTTTGAAGACTGTTTAGCAGTTCGTGGTTCCGTATCACCTTTAACTGGCGTATCGGAACCATTTTTCCTTTGTTTATTTTTAGTGCATTCCGGGCAAGACCAGTCCCTGCCAATTCTGCTGTTTTTCCCCTTACCTAAGCATGCTTGATGGTATGAAAGAATACAGGTAGAACAACTACGGCCATCTGCCTGCGAGATATAGCGACCACAAGCGCTACACTTGGCTTGAGGCATTACGACAGCGGGCAAAGGTTAATGCTATTGATTTACCTAGCTTACGCGCGTAGTTGTTTGCAAGTTGGTGAGATGGCGCTGTCACATACAAATTTGTAACAGCTAACAGTCAGTGTCAGGGTAAACAAAAAACACTTTAATATGTTTCACCCACAAAATAAACAGTTAATCACTATTTTCTAACTTTAACACCGATTTTACTAGTTAAATGTTTGTTTTTTTGGTGAGATAACACTTGTGGCACACTTGTATTACAGGAACTTTAAACGCAATATACTTTGAGCTTACTTTACAGCCTATTTCTAATTTCCGTATCAAATAAATACAACACAGATGGTACCGTGACAAGCGTCCGTGAAGAATGACATTTGGGTACAACAAGAGGGTAATAGTCTTCTTCCCCCACGGTGACCGGCCGGATTGGGGTGCCTTTACAAACAGTTGGTTTAGTTAATGTTGTGTTGTCTTGGTTCCGGTTGTCGATGCCATTTACAGGTTTTTTGGTATTTCTGATATTGAAGCTGATCTTCCTCTTTCGACATAGTTGAGAATGTTAAGTTTTATAGTGTCTTTCCCTACAGTTTTGGTTGCTGATTTGATTTGTGTCTTGAAAACGGTAGTGGTTGTTTTCTTTTGATTTGAAGAGTTTGGCGAGCCTAACTCTTCTCTTTTTCTCTTTTCTGGGTTATTATCTCTGGTTTTCTTCACTACTAATTTATCGAATTTCATAAATGCTACATTTCCTTTCTTCTTTTCTTCTTCAACCTGTAACTGCAGCTGCTTGCGTTTTTCTAGAACTTCTTTGGAGTAATCTTCCTTAATGTATATTCCTTGCGGAAGTTTGGTCTTGTTTCGCAATATCAAGTGCTTTTTCTATAGCGTAGTAAAAGTGACTACGACCGGGCGGTTTTTGTTGTTGACCTGTTTCCCAATTCTGAATATTTTACTGATTTCGTTGCTGTCTAAGTGCGTTCCCGAGTCCATTATGGCGTCCTTGATGAAATCCACAAGCTCGCATTCGGTTTTTCCTATTTCTTCTATACCAAAAAATACCAGATTGTTTCTCCTTTTTTCATCTTTCAAAAACTTTACTTCCATTTCTAGTTCAGATATTTTTCCATTACACTTTTCGTCACGGAAGTTGTTATAAGAAGAGTTTGATTGTTGAGTTTCGTGTCTAAGATTGATATTAGCTTTTCCATATTTTTTTCCTCCATTTTAAGAAAAGTTTTACTGTAATGGCAACACTGTATTTTAGTTGGCAGCCCTAGATTCTGGATGGCAACCCTAGGTTCTGTTTAGTAAAACTGAATTCTCGTTGGCAACACTTTCGTTAATGTCACTATGGTAGTAGTTTGTTTGTGATATGTTGCTCACTTCACTTCAATGATTTTGCAATTTTAGGTTATGTTTCGATAATGTTTGTTGTACACTTTTCCACTTAACACTGATTTTAGCTATTGATTCCCTTCGCTTGTGTTTTGTTCAGTAGTTCTGGTTGGAAATACAGTTGATTACACTTGTTTTGCACAGAAATTAAGTTATTATTCGCGGAGATTATTGACATACGTCTAATCAGTTCAATGACCGGAACCAGAACCCTGGCTTGAATAGCAAGGAAAATTAAGAAAATTTAATTTATGTTTTTTCAGCAAAATAAAATTTTTCGGCGTTCTGGGCCTAATATCGGCATTCCCCTTCAATGCTCGGCGGTGATTTGAAGTTACCTTTTAAAAGTAGCAGGAAGGTTTTGTTGGGTGCAAAAGTTAAGCGATTACGTTCACCCCACTGAGATATCAAGTCTCAAGCCCCGCCCTAGTATCAGATTCCACCAGTAATAAGCCGTCATCAGCATACGCGTTCAAAGTACATCCGGGATAGCTTTTTGCCTAAAATTGACTTTGGACCTTCACCAAAGCGTTTTATTACCACACTAGTAGCAATTATATACTGTTTTGGCTAATAATATATTGAGAATTCGACATAACCTATATATTGACGCCTATATATAGCCTATAAATTATATATCTCTCTTGTTTATTGACATATTTTGATCGTTTTGGTTTCTAAAATTCGGCAACGGCGTCACCTGTACGCGGACACCTCGTTTTCGGGGATTCGCTGTATAGATTTTCCTAAATTTTTCATTTTCATCGTAATTCTGTAAAAAAGCTACGAAACGTACCTTTAAGGGTCACTTACCTCTTGTGTTCCGAGTCGTTTGTTGGTTGAAGCTTTTAATATCGCTGCGTCGACACCTCTCCTGCATACCACCACCGTTCAAAGACCCTCCGGGGTCCCGTCGGAGACCTAACACCTGTGAAATAAAATTTTTGGTACTAAAATTGTAAATTTTTCAAGTTTTTGGCTAATAATTTGGCAACCCCTCAACTTATATTCAAAATTATTACATATTTGGATAGGGCTCGTCTAGCCCTATCAGACGACACCTCATTTGTTAGAATCCGTCAGATAGAAAATTAAAAAATTGCCCGCCCACCCTCCTGGGTGTTCATAGGGAGGTAAACTTTGAGCAGGGGAGCAAAACATTTTGTTGTTTTTTAGCATTTTATTTTATCAAAATTTTAATTTGACTGTCTAGTGACTTACTCTATTGTATCTATATAACGACTACTCTGTAAAAGAGTAGATTGATTCTGTCGTAAATCTTTTTGACCGCATTGAACGGCTCTATTTAGAGCGGGAAAATTGACATTCCCTTATTATTTATCTTTATCTCTAATTGATTAGTTGTAGTTTTTATTTCATATTTGACACGGACCCCCCTTTACAGGGTCCAACACACATATACATTTACACACATTTACAATTGACAATTTTCCCCAGCACGCACAGTTACACACACACACAACATGAGCACATACCGTACACCCACGACCTCTGGTGCCGCCAAAACGCCTACCACCCCCAGTCCAGCCACTACATCCGCAGCAGCGCAGGACGCTGCAAAAACTTTTATAAAGAGGCCAAACACAAAGAGAAGATCGCTTACAAACATGGAGCTATATAATAAGCGGAAAGAAGATTACGCAGCCCTACCGACTGATCAGCTCCTCCGGGAACTGATGATGTCCTTTGAGGAGATACCCGCAAGGGTTCTGGAGTACCCTCAGATGAGGAGGGACATCAGACAGTTTCTGGAGGATAAATCGGATAAGGGCCAAAGAGCGGTCTTCGAGCTTAGTAGGCGACTTCAGGGCCCCAAGGTAGAGGTCCCGAAGGCAAAGACGCCAACAAGGGCTATGTCGTCGGAAGGCCACGGCGACATATTAAAGAGGCTGGGTGAGATGGAGGCGGCGCTGACGGAGCGCATTGACGAGGTGGAGCGGACCTTGCAGACTGATCTGCAGGGAATCGATGACGCGGCTTGCGACCGAGGCTCTGACATGCTGGACCAAATCCAGGAAAGGTTGGACGATCACAGGGAGCTCGTGGACAGAACAACAATGGATGCCGGAAACCAGACGTATGACCGCCTTAAAATCCTGGTCAGCGGACTGGCCGAGGGAGTCGTAGCGGCAAAAGAAGACCTAAAAGAGGCCGCGAAGGGACTGGCATGCGTTACCCAGGCCCCGGTCCCGGTCCCGAAAACATACGCAGCCGCCGCAGAACTCAAGCCCGCTCACCGCCCCGCACTTCACTCGATGGCGGTCACTCTCGAGGGTGGACAGGAGACCGCGGACGAGGTGCTCGCTAGAGTGAGGAAGGCGGTCGATGCCAGAACCTCCGGCTTGAAAATAAACAGAGTGCGAAAAGCGAAGAACCAGACGGTCATCCTGGGCTGCGACAGGGTGGAGGAGATGGAAAAAGTCCGGAAAACCATCCAGAGCCGCGGGGACGGACTAACGGTGTCGGCCATGATAAATAAGGACCCGCTCGTTGTGTTGAAGGAGGTATACGGGGACAGCGAGGATGAAGACCTACTGAACGCACTTTACGCCCAAAACGGCGAAATCTTCGAGGGCCTATCGGAGGAACAAAGGAAATTTAAAATCAAATATAAAAAACGCACCCGGAACCCTAAAACAGCGCACATTATACTCCAAGTGGGACCCATTGTATGGCGGAGGATGACGGAGGCTGGAGCCCTCTACCTGGACCTTCAGAGGGTTAGGGTGGAGGACCAGTCTCCGCTCATACAGTGCACGAAGTGCTTGGCGTTCGGGCACGGCCGGAGGTTTTGTACCGGGAGTGTGGACAGGTGTAGTCACTGCGGAGGGCCGCATCTGCGCGAAAAATGCGCAGACTTCATCGCAGGCAGTGAACCGCGGTGCTGCAACTGCTCACACTCTGGGTTGCGGGATGCCGACCATAACGCCTTCAGTGCCGAGTGCCAAATACGTAAGAAATGGGATTACTTGGCTAGAGCAAACACGGCCTACGCTTAAACCGCACACAGGATACAACATAACACGTACACATAGACACAAAACACACAGAAAAACAAACACGACACACACAGACATGAAACACACTACAACATCAACACAAAACAGATATATAAAATGTATACTAGGCATACACGAGTATATCGGACACAAAACACTCACATGAACACAAATAATAAAAGTATGGAATGGAAACTAGCAAGAGAAAAGGCGAATGGATATACTCGTATATAATAATTATATGTATTTTATTGCCAAGATAAAAAGTGTAAT